ATTTTTCGAATGAAAGTTCATTTAAAAATCTACCAGTGTATGGCGAGCTTCAGTGTCTGCGGGTCCCATCTCTTGTTTTTATCTGGTTTAAATCTATTGCTTCCCCATTTTATACTTTGACTGTGCCTCTGGAAAGTGGACCTAGACTCAGGCATCCTTGTCCTTCAAACATTGTGAGACAAGTCAGTTGTGAATGATACAGCAATTATAATGGGCATTCTGCAACTACTCTTTTGCCCAGTCTAACTTCTTAATCTATTCCTCAGTGCTATGTGCCTGTGTCAGAGGCAGCCAAAATATTACTGAAGCTAAAACCTAGAATGTCTTCATGTTCATTCAGCTGAGTTAACAACTGTCAAATGAAAGAAGATTGCTAATTGACCATGGTTCCACCGATTGGCAGCTATGTCACTACAAGACACAGTAGTGATGCACCAGCTATTAGGCTGACCACAGTACACTGTCGGGGACATACATAATATATTCCTAAATGCTGATGATTCTTCAGCTGGCAAGGCTCATCAAGACAGCAAAGATCCAAAGCAAAGGCACATGTAGGCATTATACAACCTCTTATTATACATCTTTCTTAGTTTTATTTTTTTGTCACAAGCATCACTTTAAAGTAGCTCCCCCCTTCCCCGCCAAAGGCCAGCTATCCCTGAATTAGGAGGAGAATCTGCAAATTTGTGCAGATTCATACCATATCACAGATTTGTGACCTGTGATATGGTAAAGGAAAATGTCTCTGTTAAGCTAGCTGTAAAGTGGTTGTAGACTGATGCAGCCAATTATGGGCAGATAGCAGTAAAAGACACCCCTCAACTAAACACTGCGTGTGGAAGAGGCCAATGGTATCAAACTTTTTGTCGAATTGCAGTTGTCTTAACACGTCTAACTCCTCCTTTGTCCATTCATTTAAACATGTAATCATGGACAAGTAGAGCATATTTGTTTAAGAATATACCAGCTGTAGGACACGTCTTCAAGAGGCCAGATTTGCATTTGCATTACAGATCACCTTGGTATGTTTATTGACATAATTATATAAAAAAATTCTATAAGTTAAACATTAATATACAGTATGTGTTCAAATATGTGAAAATCCATTGTAGACCTTACACATGCACACTCCTCTATAAGAGAGCAATTTATCTAGACTGACATGTTTATTTTAAAGGATTGTTGAAATAAGAAAATTATTGTTATAATCACTTATTTGATAACATTTTCTGGACAAGTTTCTTATAACAAGAGCCACTATCACAGTAACTGTTACACTTTGTTAAAAAATGAATTACCTAATGCAGACACAATGGAGGCAGACATTTTGTGTAACATTACAAAGGAATGCTGTCATCTGAAACCTACAATCTTCTGGACAAAATCATATACCTATGACTTTTGCGTCAGCAAAATAATAGCTCTCAGCCAAATGAACCAAAATAAATTGTAAATAGGCCTTACTGTGAATGTGCCTGAGGCATAAATTGCTGCCTTTTTTGTAGAAAAAATGTGCTCTCCATTCACACAACACGTTAAAAATGTTTAAAGTGTTTGCAGAGCCTTTACTTGTTAGCAGCACCAACGTGGGTGGGAAAATAAAAAAAGGGAAAAAATGCAGCACGCTCGCAGCTGAAAACTCAGCACGAGCTACTTTCCTGCGTTTGTCTTCTGTTTACAGCCCGTTGATTGAATGGGCTCATACGGGGCTAACGCGGGAAAAACACACTCGCGCTACACTAAGGGGTCTATTCACAAAGCTGCCGAAGGATCTGGTCGTAGCTTCGGCCGATCCTTCGGCTAGCTTCGGCACCAGGACCCCTTCGGTTCAGGAGAACCGAGGGGGTGCTGTACGGGCTATTCACAATAGCCCGTACAGCTCCCGATCACGGCCGAGCGGCTCAGTCGAGCGCTGAGCCGTGCTGAAAGACGAAGCTGGCCGAGCGGCCGGCCGTTGGCCGGCCGACAGCCTGCTTCTGACAGCTGGGCGGAGCCAGCCGTGATCTTACGGCTGGCTCCGGCCACTTTCAGAGAGATCAGCGTCCCTGGTTGCTAACCAGGGACACTGATCTCCAAGCATCTGACTCTCCCTGGCGCCCCGGGAGTCTCCTGCTCCCGGCCGCCAAGGAGAAAAACCCCGCTGTGTCTTTTTTCTTTATTCTGACACGGAGCGATGTCAGAATAGAGAAAAAAAAAAAAATCCCATTCAAAAGCATTGGGACATTACTATTGGCTATTTCTATTGCAATAGCCAATAGTAAACTAGCATTGTACCCGCCCTCTTTTGCAGTTCCCCACCAGGTCCACCAGCAGAGGGCGGGAACAATGCTAGTTTACTATTGGCTATTGCAAATTGAAATAGCCAATAGTAAACTCTCAATGCTTTTGAATGGGAATTTTTTTTTTCTCTATTCTGACATCGCTCGTGCCAAAATGAAGAAAAAAAGACACAGCGGGGTTTCTCTCCTTGGCGGTCGGGAGCGGGAGGCTCCCGGGGCGCCAGGGAGAGTTTTTAAATTTTTTTAACTTTTTTTTTTTTTACAGCAGCAGAGCCGCCGGACAATAGGAAACTATTGGGCGGAGCTAGCTGTCACTGCTAGCTCTGCACAATCATTTTCTATTTACTTTTTTCTACTTTTTTCACTCTTTTTCTGTTCTGCTCGGTGCCTCTGAGGGACCGAGCAGAACAGCCGAGCCAAATGCCGCTCGGCGGCATTCGGCTATTCTCTCACTGGTGTTCGGGATCTTTCAGTATAGCCCGAACAGCAGTGAGAAGCCTGCCGGAGGTTCAGCTCAGCCGATCCAGATGTTGGATCGGCTGAGTCGAACTCCTTCTGCACTTCGGGTTAGCCGAACATGCTGAGCATGTTCGGCTGATACGAAGCCTATGTACGGCTGAAATCAGCCGTACCAGCCTGAAGTGAATAGCCGAACAGTGTTCGGCTCACTTCACTTCTGATCGGTCATTCACTCGGCTGCCCTCGGCAGCTTTGTGAATAGACCCCTAAGTGTGAACGGGGCTTTAGTGACGATGTCAGGTATAAATAAAAGAGTTGATTTGGCTAGTTTAAACCCAGAAAAGAAAAAAAGTATCTGCAATCAGTCAGGTACTCTAGACCCCGCCACAGCCAGCACAGGACTACCAATTGCACAGTGGAAAGTAAATATGAAGCCACACAGCTAATCAGTTGCAATTAGGTTTATTGTGGAACTGAGATCCAGCTTTTCCAGTGCCACCTTCTGCAGTGTTTTGCCCTAAAACAGAACTTAAAGTGTATGTTTAGCCATTTTTTTTACTTTGGATAGCATAAGAAAAACCTAAACCCCTGCCAGGTATTATTTTTGCTGCCTCTGTACCATGGGGAAAATTTCCATTCACATCCTGTCCCAGTGGTGCAACAGGAGTGGAAATCTCCTAAAAGTAAGGAAAATTCCCCGCTTTGACAGTTGGTCCTGGAACAAGTGTCTCCACTGGGAGATCTTTTCTCACCTTGTGTTCTTGATAGAAGGGCTAACCTTCACCACTCATCCAAAACTAAAAAAAAGGTTTTGCCTATAGATATACTTTACCTAAAAATGACTAGCAGTATAATTCATATCATACTTCATAAATAATTAATGGCTGAAATAAGCAAAGTCGTTCATACTGATTCTATTGCATTTCAAAACAAACTTATGTAATTCTCTACAGTTGCTACCGTAATAAGGATACCAGATATTCTATAAAGTGGGCATGATAACAAAACACACACACGTGTGTGTATATATATATATATCAACAGAAAACAGATGAATGCATATGCAGAGGGTTTCTTCAGTGAAAATCAGATGACAAAAGCCTAGCTACATAAAGGGCAGCCTAAAGTGTAAGTAAAAGCAAACTTTTTTTTTGTTTTGGATAGGGTTACACCCTCTGTCAAGTTGTTAGTTCTTTCTGTGTGCTTACCGGGGACTCTTGCCCTATCTATTTGCCCTAGGTAACTGCTGGCACTAACACGAAAAATTTGATGGGAAATCAATATTTAGAGTTGTCACCAGAGCAAAGGTTGAGGATAAACCATCCATTGGGGGCATATTTTCCAGTGATAGCATTCTAAGATGGGAATTCCCTTGAACATGGTGAGATTTCCTCTCATTTCCTGTTGCATCGTAAGGACAGGAAGTGGTGGGAATTCTCTTCAGAGGAACACAGACAACATAATATACACTAATATGAGTTTTATCCATCCCTACTCTATCCAAAACAAACAAACAAACAAAAAAAGGTTTGGGCTATACATACATTATATAAAAAGCCTCACCTTTTCTTTAAGTCACACTTGCCCTGGCTCCACCTTTCAATTGGATAGGTTGGAAGAGGAGAGGACAAGCTAAAACTTACATACAAATTTAGCAGCTAAATCTCTCAATCTACTAATTGTACTAATTCAACATGTGGTTTTCACCAAAGGAAACCTCTGCTTAAACATTGTTCCATCATACACTCAGTTTAAACTGCAAGATCACTTTACCATGTTAACACAAAGTTAAAGTGACATTAAACCCTCAGATTTTTTAACATAAACCAATACTGTAATGTGTGCCTCACTGTAATCCATGGTTGTTTCCCTTCTCTTTGCTGCTCTTACTTTTAAATCCTCATGTCTTCTCATGCGTGGGGAGAACTTCCCTTTTCAGCTCAGGGCCTCTTCCTGTAGTGCTGGCTCAGGTTACAAGCCTATACAAACGTATACACAGACACCGTGTATCCATTCCTGAGACAAGGCAGTCTGCTGCAAAACAGAAGTTCTGCCCAGCATGAGAACAGATACAGATTTAAAAGGAAGAGCAGCAAAGAGAAGGGAAACAACCATGGATTCCAGTAAGGCACACAATACAGTATTGTTTTATGTTTAAAAAATCTGAGGGTTTAATGTCACTTTAAGGTTTATTGCTCATGAGTCATTTAACTGGTTATATCACCTTTCTAAAGAGTACAGCATACACAGAAAACTTACCCAGAATCTCTTTCCTTCTGTCGGAGTGTGGTTGGTCTGTATACACCCATTCAAAGTTATCCCTGACCACCTGATTACCCATGGTGTATTCACCCAGGGGCACGTGCACAGCTAAATGTTGTCACCTGTTGAATCAAGTCAAAGATAAACCCTGATTAGCATGATTGTATGTACCCCATTAGTCTTATAAGGCTGCTACATGCCTTTCTTGCAATAACAATTAGGATAAATGTATTTTCAATTCCTAGGAGGCTTGGCCATTTTTCTGCTCGGCTGGTGCAGTTGAGCACACATTAATGCTGCTACTCTGTTTTTCAAAGTAGTAAGGAAGGTTAGTAAAGCTGTCCCCTTACCATTTGGTCTTGATGCTGCACCTGCCCTTATGTCTACCCCCTCTGTGGATGTATCACTGGTTATCTCTTGAAATTTTTTGGTTTGTTACCCTCATAGTACTTACGTAGCCACTGTTTGAGAAAAGCTGTCCCAATCTGTATTGTTCCCTCCCAAGATAGGTATCGCTGCAGGATCTACCTGCCCAACTTATCCCTTCCCCTTTGCATTGACATAAACTTGTTAGGTCAGCAGAACTGACTTTGAAAGCTTATGGAATGCTGTGCAATGCTTAGAAAATTCTCTGCCTTCAATTTTATGTAACATTTTAACCAAAAGAAGTGTGCAGTATCATGTGAAAGTGTTGTTGGGGGCCACAGACACTTTTTTTTTAATCTGTACGTGCTATGTAACTGTACAAAATAAAGGTCCTGATTTTAAGACCATGTGTGCAGGATTGATTCAGTGTTTTTTTAGCAAGTTATTTCAAATTGGAGAGGAACCAGCAGAACCGTGCCACTTCAGACGAGTCATCCTGCTGCTGGCGACAGCTTGCCAGGGCACATGTACTCCCAATCTTCTGTGGACATATTACACATAATGAGTTGCTCCTTCTATCTGCAACAGGATAATTGCCCAATTTGGTGAGTAGCAACTGGGAATATAAGATATAAACTAATCCTTGTGTAGCTTGTGCTTTTATAATGCCTATTAGAAGGTATTTGGACCTAGGTATGTTTAGATTTCTATACAATGTCTCTATTACAAGCTTACTTTAAAGGGACAGTTAAAACTTTTTTTTTTAAATGGGGGAATTTATCAAAACTGGAGCAGACATAATCCAAAGAAGTTGGCCACAGTAACCAATTAGCTTATCTCTCCAGTTAGTTCAGTAAAGCTTTAAAAATGAAAGATAGAATCTGATTGGTTGCCATGCACAACTGCTCCAGTTTTGTTAAACTCCCCTCATTGGGATGCAGTTATCAAAACTGGAGCAGGCAGAACCTGGAACAGTTGCTCATGTCAGCCAATCAGCTTCTCTTTTCAGTCTGTTCACTTAAGCTTTGAAAATGAGACAGATGCTGATTCGTTGCCATGCACAACTGCTCCAGTTTTGATAAATTCCCCCATTGTATTTTCAGCATGCGCATATTTTGCTTTATTGCAAGGCTTATCTTAATTTTATAATACCTTTCACGTTTAAATAAAGCTTGCTTTTGTTTTTTTAATATATATATGTAATTGTATTAAATATTAAGATTTGTAGATTAGAAACTAGAGGACCCTCCAAGTAGCTTTGTGCTGTGCGACAGTAAAGCCCACCTATTGTGTAGCACTGCGAAGCAGAGTCTGCATACATAACTATGCAAATATGATTATCCTCATGTGCATATATAATTACAAATGATGCATAGAAACAATTAGTTTAAAAAAAAAACAAGGTTAATACATATTGACACAGTATTTGACATAAAACGAATCTCTTTTACACATCCACCTTAAAAGAAATATTAAAAAACGCTATACATTTCTTATATAATCATTCAAAGCTTAGAGAACCTGTGACTACATGCATGGTTACCTATTGACCCTGGTTTGCAAAGACTGTCCTAAAGTTTACAGATTTGTCTCTAAAAAGTACCTGATTTTTTAATTTAAAATTCAAATTGAATTAATCGTCACATTGAAATCCCTGTTTTCAAACTCACTTCCAATCTTTTTATCTTATGTTGGCTTTATAAATGAATTTGCTATCTATTGATGCTATTTTGGCTTCTTCCAGTAATTATACATTACAAGGGTACTCAAAATTCAATAATGCTATCAAAAGAAACATTTTATAAAACAAGTTAGTAAATAAAATGCCAGAATGGAACTGTAGTCCAAGACATTACTGTGAGTAACTAGCTTTGGTCTGGGAAATGTTTTAAATAATGATAAATCCATTGAGTTTGAAATTGGCTACAGGTGATGTAACTGTAACTTAAACCTCAAGTAACCAGTTTCTCATTTGCAAAAGTTGCAACATTGTAAAAGCCAAATTCCTCTTTAAAAAAACGTTATGATTACCACAAAACTTACATAAAATACAGTGTATATGGACATTACCTGTAATATATCCTGATCTGAGTGCAGTGCCTCTGATCAGAAGGGCAAAAGGAAGAGGGGAGAGTGACAAGGTGTGTGTAACAGTGTCACCAGAGAGGGAGGACCTGTCTCACCCATAGCCTCACAGGATACGCCCTCTGTGTCAACATCCAGAAAATCTATTACAGATAAGATACCCATGTGACTACAGGTAGAACCTGTTAACGTTTTAATCCTCTGGATACTCCCCAGCATAATGTCATGCTCTGCAACCTGTCCCCTGTCCAACCTGTTCAGCCACAAGCTTTGAGGAATCTAATGGAATCAATGCACTCAGTCGTGTCATGCTGTTTCCTTTTGTTACGTTCTGTACAGGACTGTGAACAGGGGCACAGGACAGTGTTGAATAATGTTATCAATGAATTGTTGCCAACTGCCTTGAATTTTTGTTTAGGGACAAACCTGCCTTTTGAAGGTCTGAGCCAGAAAAAAAAAAGGTGTGTTCTTGGTTGTGTCACTTCTTTGTAACTGCTAATTGATATTGCATAAAAATCACTCTTGTTTTGTATTTTACATTATACTTGAATATTTGTTTTTAAAAAACACAAAACAATTTATGGCATAGGCCATGGATTTAGTTCTGTTAACTACACAACTTACATTGGGTTAAATTAAAGTATATCTTTTTTTAAATTATTATTATCAACTTTTTATTCACTTTCTTGCATTATTTAATACAATTACATAAAAAGAAAAAAAAAACCAACATTACAAAACCAGTTTTAGCACGACAAATAAATATACAATTTACATTATCATTCAACACCACCCAACCCCTATAAAGGGGAGAAATAATAAAAAATAAATTATTATATATTAATTAAATTAAAGTGTATCTAACCCCAGGAACAAACATGTTATATATTGTAGCTTAGCAATCCTTGAACGTGTTGGCTGCATTAGTTTTTTAAATTTTATTTTCACCTGATGGTCCAGCCAGTAACATTCTTCCTGTCCTAGGATGATAACACTCACTCACTATACTGTGTCAATAAAGCACCAGTAATGTAACCCTAAAGCTGGCCATACAGTATGCAAATTCCAGCCAGTTCTGGCAGCAATTCGCACAGTGGGTGCCTCTGTTGGCACCCTTTCGGCCGGCATCCCTCAATCAGCTGATTGAAGGAGCCAGTCAGAAAATCTTAGAACGAACAGAACTGGCAGTCAAAGAGCTGCCAGCTCTGTTCAGTTATTGTGACAGGGGGGGGGTGACTGCTGCCAGAATACAAAAGATTATGCGCGTTGATCGTGGATTCCTCGATCAACGCACTCGTAGTATTGATGGAGGAATTTGTTCTATTTTTTTCATTCAGCCTGCGGGTGAAACTAAAAAAATAGAACTGTGTATGGCCAGCTTAAGGCAAGACTACACCTTCCCTCTCCTCTTCTCCATACAATATGAGGGAGATGTTCTGTTGTCCACAGAAAGATCTGGGAATAATACAAACTGATACCAGCCAGCACAAGAAGAGAGCGTAGGAAGATATCAGCTCACATGATTTATAGTAGGATCAACATGCATTTGATTGGATTTATTGAGCAAATAACAAACCACTTCTAATTGTATAGTTACTAGACTATAACACAGCAAATAAAACAAGTTAATTGTTGAAATTTGCATAGACTTTAATGTTTATTTACATCACATTGACTGAGCCACTACACGAGAGGTTTAAAGTGCTAGTGAGTGACCGATCTCCCATGATTACAAAATGTGGTAAATTAATCACTTAAAATATCATTAAACTCTCTGCTTTTTTTGCATATATCTACTCCTAGCAAGCAGTAGATATATGCAAACATATTTTAAAAAAATAAAAAAATTGCCAAAAAGTAATTACTTACCTCTGCCTCCGCCACTCACTCCCGTCTGAAGATCTGGAGCTTCTCAAGTGGCCGAGCAGGATGATGGGGCGGGCACATCCACAGTAGAGATCTTCGGCAGGAAGAAGAGAGTAAGTCAATGCACGCAGCCGTGAACATGCACGTCGGACAGGCACCTTGGGACACAGAAGACAGCACTGGATCAGACACCGGCACCAGGGCTGGAGGGATTGCTGGAAACAAGTGTCAGTAAGAAGATGATCGGATCAAGAGGCGACACTTAAGGTAAGTCCTTACAGCACAATTACAATGGGGGAAAAAAATGCTGACTTTAATGTCACTTTAAAGCGAACCTTCCACAGAATGCTTTTTTAGTGTGACTCCTTGCTTAAACATTGCATTGAACTAAAAAGAAAAACGCACCCTCCACTTCCCCCCTTTTTGGCTTTTGTAGTGCAGGGGGTAATGTCACCATCTGGCCAACAAGATCCCCGTGCCTCACTTCTCTAAATCTTGTGAGGGCTGCTCAACATTCCCCAGTATTTCCGTAATTTTCTCCTACAAATCTTCAGTTCACAAACATAAGCATTGCTTATGTCTGGAATCATTAATTATTCTTTTGCCTGCTATGCACATTAAAAATCTTAATTTCTGATAAATCATTATTATTGCTTCGACTTATACTTTAGTTCCCCTACTGGGTGTAAAGCAGTATACCAGGAAGTACCGGGCATGGAGAACCTATGACTCATTTAGCTTCCCCCCCATGATAGAAGGCTGGGGGACTAAGCAACCAATTGCCAGGCACCAGCAATGTAACATGGAGGTGGGTAGAGACTAATAAGTAGGAATGCACCGATACTTTTCACATCCCAGTGCAGATACTTGGCATTTTCATGAGAACTACCAGGGTTGCAACGGTTGCAGCTGGGACCTGGCTCTGGCGCTCCACCACTGTCTTGAAATAATTAGTCTGTATTGTTATAGAAAATCTGTCACATGACAATAAACATAAATGTATCAGTACTTGTATCTGTGAGGACTTGGGCAAGTATCAGTACTTGTACTTGCAAAACTGGTATCGGTGCATCCCTTTATTTATATTTATAAAAACAAAATCATACATTAAAACAGAGATGTACAAATCCCAGGAGCTCCGTGTGATCCTTACAAATGACAGCTGCCTCCTAACTTTTGAATTTTTCTCTCGTCTAGTCTTGGAGCTCGAAAAGTATCTGTACTTGTACTTGTACCGAGTACAGTACTTGGTATCGGTGCATCCCTACTTATAAGTCTTGTGTAAGCTCTGTCCAAAGCAAACTGCTTACTCAAGACTTCATCTATTCACTCCTCTGAATGAACAGAGCTTCCGGGGAGCAAATTAAAGGCAAGTATTTGTAGTTAGCACCAGGTAAAGTGAGCCTGTCAACACAGGATCACTTCTAAAATACAAGTCAGCCTGTAAAAATATATTATTTACAGGCTATATAATCATCCAATGACCCGTGTGTTATAAAGCCACAGATTCATTGCTCTCCAGTGGCTGCATGTATTCCACACTTCCAGGTGTTTAGCATACATGCCCCCCTAGAAACATTGTGGTTTCTCCAGACAGCTTGCATGACACTGCAGGACGTAAGAGCTCTCAGGAACAAATACAGTATACGGTAGGGGTAGCCAGTGTAAGACCCACTTGAAGGGTCCAACTCCTGCAGTGGCAGATTTTCAACACACGGGCCACCGGAAAGGTAGGTATATTTATAGACTGCCTTGTGTTTAGAAGTGACCTTGTGATGACAGGGTTACATTAATTGAACCTGTTGCTTTGCCCATGTAGAGATTCACATTACAAAAGCAATAAACTATACAGAAATCTTTGTAGACTGACCGTAACAGTCAGAATACCTACAAATAAATAAATCATTAAAGTAACAAGCATTCATTATTATAATGCAGTGAATGTATCCTTTTTGCCTGGTAATACCTTTAGTGAATTGAGAAATCCATTTCACAGACCAATAATAAATAATAACATATATAATAACAACAATATCACATATGCGGTGGTTTTGTGAATTCAGGCTATTGCTATGTGGTTTTGAAAGCCATTTGAAAAAAATGTAGTTCAACTCGACCAGAATAAAGCATGCAAATGTATCTTCTCATGTCCATGCATTTTACTTGCAATGGAATGTATTGTAAAATGCATGACAAAGCAGCTCCTGTGAATAAGCCCTTAACAATAAATATTAGTGATTCATTGTCCAACGTCTCCTTCATAGGCTTGAATGGCTGTGGGAGGTTAATAGTTCAACAGTCAGTCACTTATGAGACTGTTTCGAACACCCTCATAACGCCCTTATGCGATTTATCTCATAAGACTAGTCTCTCAGCAATTGCCCCCAAAAATATTAGTGTATACCAATGAATTAATCGAAGAGTGTTTAGACTTTAAAATTAACAATCCTTTGCATAGCCCCAAATTTACCATATTGGGATAAATTATACATGAATACAATATACATACATTTACACACAAATGTGTAACTTTCGACCCCAGTACATTACCAACTACTAGCCTTTGATTGCAAATTCACTATGAAGTCAGGCTGGCCATTAAGAACACAATGATGATCAGCAAAGATGGACTTCCCCAGGCTACTTTAGGTTAGCCAAACCCCTTCATAAATTCCAAGGATCCATAATTAGTCCTGCAAACTGAGCACTATAATATTAGAGCTTAAGTAGAAACCCCCCAAAAATCCAAAGAGTAGGTACCTTAGAGTAGGTGCTTTCTTATCAATGCAGACTGACCTACAGCTAGATATATACTGCACATGGTGAGTGTGCCTGGAAACTTTTTGTTGTTTTTACTCTTTTTGTTGTTTTACTGTTTGAAGCCCTTCCGTGTGCACCTTGCTGTAAAGCTGGTAACAAATTGATGAGTGCGTTTGCCATTTGTTTTGCTTGACTGATTTGGTGCAGTGACGCATGGGGGGGTCTCAGCTGCCGTTGTGATGTGCGGGGTCCCTTGTGCGTACCTGTGCCTTTAAGAGAGGTTGGGCTTCCTCCTGACAAACCTGCACCCAATTTAATATTTTGCCCCACGTGCTCCAAGATGGAGACTCTCATAGTTTAGAGTTAGGGCCGCACTATATGTAGGTGCCTTGAC